AGGAAGGAAGGGGGAGGGAGGGAGGAAAGAAATAAAGGAAAGGAAAGGAAAGGAAGGGACTGCATGTAATGAAATGAGGGGGCTGCAGCGAGGCTGACGCTTCCTCTTTGGTTAATTCATTTGTGTCTAATTATCTTGTTGCCGTGCCATCCAGCCTTCTCCCTTCCGACACCAGCCTCGGAACACTCCGTGTAATTGCAGAGCAGCGAGAGGTGAAATCTCGAAGACTAGATGAGTAATCTTCTGCACCCTAATTTCTCTGCCACGTCCCCAGATGCCTCCTAGCACGTGGAAGAGAAAGCTTCTGAGCCGAGCTTGACTCGGAGACTTGTGAGAAACCTGTGGCTGGCTCCCGTCGCCGGAACACCAGTTGATCTTCTCCATCCACTTGGAACCTGCTGGCCTGTTTTAGGGGTGTCACTGAGAACTGGGCAGAGACGCAATGAACCATCTCAAAGTGAATTACCTCCCAAATCTCACCAATGATAAAATACGCCAAGATACGACAGATCAGCCTTGAGCAACTTTTGACTTTGGGGCTGTGATCTGATCGCTGGATTTCTCTAGCCAGTTGGTCCAGGCTTTTACAGATTTCCCTCTGTGCCTCTGCTGCTTCCTGCAATTAGAAATTTTTTTCCCAACACTCCCAAATTCCTCGAAACTTCAAAATTATACCCTCCAGTCAAGTTTGCAGCAAAAGTAGGACTTCTCTGGTTTACCTTCGTTGTAATTTGATTTGGGAGAATGTAGTTTTGAGCCAGAGCAAAGATAAATGGTCTTCAGAACTCAAGCTGTCTTTGGTGCAATGTTATTTTTCACCGAATATGTGTTTCTGTGAAATGCTCTCTAGTAGCTGGGAGAGCCAGCCAGCTGAGCTCTGCAGTACAAATGCATCCAAGCCTCGAATGAATTCGAAGACCCTCACCTCCAGGTCCTAAGAATGCTCTGGGCTTTCTGTCACTCTAAAAGCCAGCAGAAATGGCCTGGGGAGTAAATAAAGCAAAAAGTGAAGTCTTTTTTCCAAGACAGCAGAGGGACACGGTGGCAAAGGATGCGAGCTCTCTGTCATAGGCATGTGAAGAACCAAGGAAAGAGAAGGACAAAAAGGTACATAAAACCCAGGAGATTAAAAATCAGATTGGGTAAAACCAAGTGCTGAGGTGGGATGGTCCAAAGTCCCACCAATATGGATGTATCTCCCCGCTTCTCTAGCATCACTGAATCCAGAATTTTCTATCATTGGATTGAGAAGTGGTTGAAAATTGAGAGGAGTTAAGGAAAAATGAAGATGTCAGCCTCTTTGCAAACCTCACGCAAAGCCTGGTGATGCAAACCCACTGTGCCGACGTCCTGGGTGAAGAGTGCAGCTCCCCAGCCAGAGGGCCTGCATTGGGATTCTGGTTCTGCTGCTTAAAAACTGTGTGACACCAAGCCACTCCTTAACCTCTCTGTGCCGCAGTTTCCTCCTCTGTAAAATGGAGCTGATAACGACACCCTACTTACTTCTCCTTCATGTTCAAGTAGCCATAGGACTTGAGGTGAAATCCCCAGGAAAACCCCGCTGGTCGGCTCTCAGTTGTTTTGTTGACCTGGGACCGTGCGACGGCCAGACAAATGAGACCGGAATTCCCTCGGCCAGGCAGAAATGTCCCCGGTGGAGGGAGTGTCCCTGCACAGCTCGCAGCTGTGAATACTTATCAAGAGCTTTCCCCACCACACTCCTATGAAGCAGGGTTACCATTCCTATGTCCCAGGAAAGCAGATGGAGGCACAAAGATGTTAAGTAATTTGCCTGCAGCCAGAAAGCAACAGAGCCAAGACGGAAATGCCCACCTGTCCAGAGCCCCCTCTCCCACCGGGCTGCCCTGGTTTACTGGACGCATCTATCCCTCGCCAGCACCGAGCGAGCTGGAACAGTGTGGTATATCAGAGAAGAGAGATTTTCAGGGCTTTTGAAACGGGAGGTCCACGGGTGGGAGCAGTGATTTGCACAAATAACTGAGCCACGTGCACCTGGATGTTCCTCCCAAGGAGCCCCGGCAGGTGACACCAAGCAGCAAGCCCCCCTCCGCCCTCCTGGGGGGAGGGCTCGGGCCCTGCCGCTCACCTGCAGGCTCCTGGGACGACAGCCTTGCGGGCAACGGCCTGGGACTCGAGGCCAGTCTTCTCATTCTGGGGATGGCACACTGGGGTCTGGAAAGAGCAGAGGGAAGGATACCCAAGGGAGCCCTCCCAGCTGATGCAGGAGCCCCTTAGAACTTGGCCTGCCAGGAGAAAGGGGAAAAAAGCAAAGAATCTGAGTCCGGCCCATGGAGAGGTCTGCTGTCACCGGAGAATAAGGGCTATTATGGGAACAGGAAGGATGGAGACCGGGAAATTCTTGCAATGAATCCATCCAGGCACAGGAGAGGGGCCATTCAGTGATGCTCCAGATCAGAGGGAAGGAGGAGCGGGAAGCAGGAATGCGCTCTCGCCTCTGCTCTTTCCAACATGCTGCATTTAAACGATCGAATGTTTCCGCCAATCTGCAGAAAATAAGTTCTTTTCAAGGGGGGTGAAATCTGGCTCATTCTCTCCTAGCAGAAGGCCCTGGCTCCCACAGAAGATGCAGGCGCTCTGCAGCCTCCCTGCCCTTCACCCTATGTCTGGAATTTACACCATCACCGGCAAATGAAGGGATACACGCACCCTCCCTGGTGACTATTGTTACTCTCCAGGCAAATCGTCTCCTGATCGCAGAGATCAGTCAAAGCCTCGATTCTGTTGGTTGCGAGGTGGGCACTGATTTTCTTCCTTAACCAGGAGAAGAGCTGTTGTTTCCATGTTAGAAAATTACATAAAATGCACTTGGAGGGAAACAAAGTTTCTGAGAGTCATTTAACTATCGGTTCTCTCGGAAGAGTTCCAGCCTCTCCCTTGCTTGCCTAGTCAAATACTCTACGCCGAAGTTGATTAACTTTTTTACTGCAGATCAAACCCCTTCCCTTAAAAGTATTTCCAACTTTCTTAAAGCTATTTTTTTTAGGTAGCTGTGTGTGTGTAGCGGGCGTTTCTCCGTCCTGTAAGTAACGTGTGCCTCTGAAGAAGGAATATTTGAGCGCAACGGCTTTGAGCTGAAGAGGTGCTCATTTTGCCCTGGAGGTCCGCAGGGGGAGGCAGCCAGGAAGGAACTGCCCCCCCCCCCGCCCGGCAGACTGAGAGACGGGTCCCCCCGGACGGGTAAGAGCCCCACCGAGCCCTCTCCGCTCGCGCGCCTCAGAGCGCAGAGCGCAGCGGAGCGGAGCGGAGGGCTTCTGGCTCCTTCCGGCAGCTCCAGTCCTCACACGCGCAAGCAGAGCCCCTCACCGGAGAGCGCGTCCACATGGCTCCTCCCCGGCCAAGCCTGTGGCTCCCGGGGGCGTGGGGAGCTCGGCCCTCAGGGGACCTTTGGCAACGTCTGGGGAGAGTCCGGGCTGTCGTGAGTGGGGCGGCGGGGGAGGTCGTGTTTACTACCGGCAACGAGCAGGCGGAGGCCAGGGACGCTGCAAAGCATCCTGCTGTGCGCGAGGCACCCCCCAACCGAGAAACACCCGGCCCCACGCTGACAGCGGTGCCGCCAGAAAGCCCGGTCCAGCTGACTGCAAATCATGCGGGGTTTTTTAGCAGAAAACTCCAGGGGAGAAAAGGGGCTACATTTGAATCCTCTCTCACCCGGAAGGCCCAATCGGAGGTAAGTGAAGCTCCAGAGGCACCACGTCATTTTGGGGAGAATTACGCAACAAAGCAAAACTGTAACGGACTATGCCTATGTATCTGAATTTAGGAAGACTTTCGGCCAGAAAGAGCCCTCTTCCCAGCGACACACACATACGCTTCTAAGGATGAGGGTAAGATTGCTGGAGGTCTGCCAATGCGATGACTGCACACCTGGCCTAGACAGAGTCCAGCTGCCAGGTCAGGAGGCCTCTGACGGACCACTTCGCCATCTTCTTCTTCAGCCCTCTCTTCCGTTTGGCCAAGATGCTGGCTGGTGCTCGTAGTTGCTCTGTGAGACCGTACTTCCTGACGACTCCCGAGCATGCCAGAGGAGAGAAGTGTCCCCTCTTTCAGCGCGTCAGAATTGGGCAAAAACGCTAATCATGTGCCCTGGTCCTCAAAGAATGAAACATTTCAGCAGCTCTTACAACAGAACTTTGGCAACGTTTTCAGCAAAGGGCCAGATAGTAAATATTTGGGGCCTTGCCGCTCACGTGGTCTCTGTCGCAAGGGCGCCGCCTCCGCTGTGCGAGCCTGCGGCAGCCTTGGGCGCTGTGGCCCTGAATGGGCTTGGCTGGGCGCCAATAAAACTTTATTTACAGGAACAGGTGGAGGGATGGACTTGGCCCCAGGCCTGTCATTGCGGAGTCCTGCCTCACCACATGGATTTCCTGAAAACTGCGTTTCAGCAAACAAGAAGAGGGGAAAGTTCAGAGCGAGCCGCTGCGAAGCATCGGCAGTAGTTCTCAGCCCCTTCCAAAGAGCGGCCTGGGGACAACTTACCGCCAGGCCGAGGGCCGAGGGGCCGAGGGGCCGAGGGGGCCGAGCTGGAACGGGGCCTGAAGGTTACACAGAAATCTGGAGGAAGAGAGGCATTGCCCCCACTCTGGTCGATAACCCAGAGTTTACTTTCATTTCCCCACTCGGTTTCTCTTTCAGTTTAAAGCTCTGCTTTTGTCCAGAAACCACCCATCCCCCTCGGGGGCTGACGCCCGCGGGGAGGCCAGCTGGCCGCGGGGCGCCGAGAGGGACCTCGGGCCTGTGACGGGGCGGCGGGCAGCCACCTGCCCCGTTTGCGGGTGGGGAGGCTTCTCCAGTCCGGGGAGATGCGCTTGGGAACTGTCAGCACACGGGTGGCGGGGGGAGCGCTGGGGTCGCTCTGACGTCCAGGCCAGCTCTCTCCTCAAACTCAGTGCCGCTCGCTGTGGGAGCCGCTTTGCAGCAAACAGCATCTTCTCTTGACCGCAGCTCCCCAAGGTAGGCACCATGAAAGGGGTCTCTCCTGGGAGGGGGGGGTTTCCTGTGGACCAGGAGGCCAGGACAGGGCTGTGGGCTCTGGGGCTGGGCTCCGAACTCCATCCGAGAAAGGGTCGCCCTTCTCCCTCGGCCTCACCCCCCACGCCTGGTCTTTAAGTCTTTTTTTTTTTTATGGTACCATACACAAAACATCAAATTTACCACTTTCACTATTTTTAAGAATTGTCCAGTTGACTCCCAACCTTCGGTAACCTAGGGTCCCTCCTGGAATGTTAACTCCGGTGGCCAGAAAAAGTTGTTAGGTAGAGAAGCCCAGGAGGCTGTCACTGTGCCCAGCAAGTGACTGCCAGGGTGGAGCAGAGGGGTATGGCAAGGTACTGGCAGCATCCATTGCAACCATAAAGGCACCAGCCACGTGCTGGGTCTGTGGCTTATCATTCGTGGGGTCTGCCTCCCCCACGGGGCCCTGAGCTTCTCGAAGGCAGACCCCATGCACAATTTATCTCCGGATCCCCAGTCCCTGGCAGGTTGGAGGTGTCAAGAAAAGGTGGCAAATGAATGCACAAGTGTCTCTGTAAAGAAGAGACAGGCACAGGCTAGGTTTTTGGGGGCGAGGAGGCCAGAAGGGACCTGGAAAGGCAGGAGACAGCAGCAGGGATGAAGTGAGGAGGGAGGCCAGGTCCTGCCTCCTCCCCTTCCCCGGGGCCTCTGTATCTTTCCCCTCCAATCACCACCTGGCCCTCTGCCAACAAACATCCCCATCCCCTCCCAGGCTGGTCTCTGCGGGAACCTGTGCCTTACCTAGCAACAGCTGCCACGGAGAGCTGGCTCTCCTGACAGTCCGACCACACAGCACAGGGCTGATACAACTCCCAGATAGTGGTGAAAGGAAAGGCAGGTTTATCTCAAGGCCGGGCTCAGAGGGGATCTGGGTGTCAGGACTGGGGTTGTGGCACGTTCCGTGGCTCAGCCCAACGGTGCACAGAGCGGCTCCCCTGATGGCGGCATCAGGTAAAGGAGGGAATTCATCCTCTCTGGTCGGTGATGGTCCTTGTTCGTCAGATTCCTGTTGCTCCCTGTTCCTGTTCAGCTGGGTCAACATGTGCCTGTAAATTCCTCCCAAAAGGGAAATCATAACAGCATCAGCAGCCCCAGAAATGACAAACAACTCAAGTATGGAGAGGCGGCTGCCAAGTGTTCAACAGTACTCATCTTGCACCAGAAAAAAAAATCAGATAAGAAAAATAAACCAAGCTGTGTGCATATTTCCTTAAATATGTATCCCATTTGGTGGTTCCTTCCAATCTTTGGTGTAATGAAGATACCCATTGGTCAAGGGTCAAGGAACGGCAGCCCTGCGGAGCCGTCTTGCATTGGCAAAGCTGGCCATCGGGGTCTCTCCCTTCTCCAGAGCACGGAGTGGTGCAGAAAGTTCAGAACAGAGAGCCATGGACATCAACTTTCCTGCCAGCCGACTGCCTAAATCATTCTGCAACTGTGGCTGGCCCGTCTGCCTGGGCCTTGGTCTCCCTTGCATTTCATCAAGTTGGCAATGCGTCTTTGCAAAATGCTGCGTCATCCTGGAGGGGAGGGTCCCGGGGGAGCTTTTGCCCAGCAGATGGTCCGGGAGGTGGAGGGGTGTCACAGTCACCCGTCCTCCACTTTGTTGATGCAGTTCAGCCTCAAGATTGAACAGCAGAAACATCAGAAGCCAGGAGCCAAGATCCAGGGAATGGGCGAGGCCCGGAGGACTTGCACGAGGCCACGGAGGCTACGTTTTACCCAACAACACAGAGCCAGCCAGGACACCAGGGCGTCTGCCAGCCTCTGAGGCTGCTCTTGGCGTGGCCATAAAAGCCACAAACACTGACAAGGCAAGAAAAGAATATGGTGAGAACCCAGCCTGCCTTTGCTTCTCAGATGCCTTGGAAGATTCTGGAAGGGCATCTTCCTATTCCCTGAAGTGAGAGCCCAGATTCCTCTGTCATTCAATTGGGAGCCATAACCAAGCACACTCAGGGCCAGAGCCTGTGCCTGAAACCTGGCACCTGTCTTCAAGGTGTTCACACTTGGGTGACTTAAACCAAAAATGATGACACAAGGAAGGTGGCCTGCACATAACACTCAGGGGTCAAGGTGGTCTAGACATAGGCAAAGGGACCCTGAGGGCCAAGGAGAGGGGCTGAATCCAACCAGGAATAAACACCAAGGACAACAGGGCCTCACCCAAGAGAAAGCCATCTGCCATCCACCACGTCCTTCCTTTTCCTGCAACGCATGTTTTGTGGGAGAACAGAGCCTTGATGTGTAGGCGTTGATCTGCTGTGGCAGGTACCCAAGTTTGCAATATGCTGTGGACCATCAAGGTTCAAAATTGGTATCCCTGCTGCTGAGGACAGCATCGGCCACCCTTTCTGCTTAAAGAACAACCTTCCCGTAGAGGAATCCTGCTCATGAGACATGAAGGGAGGTTCCTGGCCTGACACCTTCTCAGAGACCCAGAGGCAGGGCCCAGCCCCAGCCCACTCGGGCCCTTCTGCCCAGCAGCAGAACAAACATCCTTGGAGCGGTGAGGTTAAATTCCCCCAGACAGAGGATGTGAGCTCTGAGAGCCCAGTGAGTCAAGGACAGGGTCTGAATAAGTCTGGGTGGGGCTCTGCTGTCTCACTCTTGCAAAAGGATTCAAGCAGTGAGTGAATTTCTCCATCCCCTTTGCTCCTCAGACTCCTTGACTTTCTGCCTTTCTGTGCCTTCTGACCTCGTTTATTTCTAATTGTTCTCCTAAGCCTCTAACAGGAAATTCTGTTTTCTTTTTAGACCTGCTTACATTTACATCCATTTAACTTTTTGTCTGCAGCCTGCCTCATCCCAAAAGGGCCCGCTGCTCCCTGCAGAGATAGCAGGCTTGTTACAAAGTCAGAGGGGATCAGGCGAGCTCAGAGGACCGCGACTTTGTTGTTCAGAAAGACAGTTTGTGGGGATTTATTTTTGTGGGTCTGTTTCTTCTTTGATGAGCTGGAAGCATTCTTACCCAATCGGTAGAGTATTCAAGAGTATTTTCAGAATCTTTGCAGGATATTTTGCTGGTAATGAGGCGGGAAGCCCCATAAAAAGACCAGCAGGACCCCCAAGCAGGGCCACTGCTCTCGCGCCGGCACCGTCCGGTTTCCTGGCCCAGAGGCTCTATCTCACTTTTTGCCTCTGAAAGGGCTTACTTGCCCCTAAAATTCTATTGGTTCCCTGAGCTCACTCCTGATTTGTTATTTCCTTCACTCCTGATTGGTTATTACTCTCACTTTTGATTGGTCCACTTCCCTAACTTCTGATTGGTCCATTTGTAGTACTTTGTTTGCATGGAGGTCACTCCTGATTGGTTATTTCTCTCGCTCCTAATTGGTCCATTCTCTCAGTCCTGATTGGTTATTTCTCTCATTCCTGATTGGTCTATTTCTACAAAGCTTGTTCCTGGTTGGTCAGCTTCTGTTATACTTTATTTGCATATGATGTTGCAAAGTGTAAAACTGGCAGCCTATAAAGGCCTGTGTAAACGAACAGAGGGGGTCCAGAGCTTGGAGTGTTAAATTGTGTGGGGTTGCTGGTGTAATAAACCTGAGTTCTCCAGCTCTCAGTGCTGCTTGGTCTTTCACCCGGGTCCAGGTTGCTGTCACAACTGAGCTGTAATGCTGAGCTGTAACATATTTTTCTGCAACAGTAACATTGATAAAGGTCACCTTGTATGAAGCACTTGCTCAGAACCCCATTTGGTCCTCCTCCAGTCTCTGCTAGGTGTGTGCATTACTACCCCACTTTATAGATTAAAACACTGAGGCACAGAGATGTCCACGGACCTGCCCAAGTCACAGGCAGTGATGGAACAAGGTTCAGACTCAGGTCTGAGCCCCTGGTCGTCCCACGATTTCAAGCTGCCCCCTATGCAAGTTTCATGCAATGATTGTGACTCGCATGTCCCTTCACAAATCCCATACCTGTCCCAACCCCATCTGTTTGATTTCAGGACACATGGCCTTCTTCAAAAATGCAGGTATTGCACAAATAGGTTAAAATCAATTTCATGAGTCCCTTTGATGTGACTGAAGACACCCCGAGACTTCATGGAAACCAGAGAAGGCCCAGAGGCCAGCACCTGTGAAGCGGCGGAGCCCGGAGCCCTCTCCTGGGGGATGTCTTCCTGGAAGGGAGGCTGCCGTCCACAGCTCACCGCCCAACCCGGTGGGCAGGGCCCGGAGGGAGGGCCTGGGGTTCCAAGTGAGCCCACAAGGTGTCCTGCCAAAGGTGCAACCGGACAGGACGTGTGACAGACGGGCCCAGGGGCCAGCCATGCTGTCCCTGGTCCGTGAGTTGCAGAGGAAACAAATGAGAGAAGTGTTTCTTGTAACTCCCACCGAGCAAGGGCACAAAGGCCACCAGCCAGCCTCAAGGGGAGCACCCCGGCCACAGCTCTCCCTCAGTTTCCCCGGCTTGCCGCGCATTTTCACCTTGCAGGGGAAAGCTTTTTAAAGCGGTCCCTGGGCTTAGTTGCCACAATTTCCCTGGGTGACACTCAGCCCCCGATAGGATGCTATTTTTCACAGTCGGTGAGGGAGGGCCAGGCTCTCAGGAAGACAGGCGTCTTCCCGGCCGGCCTCTGCGCTCTCCACACGGGCGCTGTCCGGAGTGCCCCGGGGCTGGGCCTGGGGCGGCTGCCTGCGCCTGGTACTTCCTGGTGTCACCAGTCTGCGTGCTCTACAGGTGTCTAATACAGAAGAGAAGACTTTCAGAGGCCTCAGGTAGGTGAGACAGTTATCTGACAGCCTCTCCGCTCTCCGGTGCTGCTCTGGAGAAGCATGGTTTTCAGAGCAGTTTTATTCTTGTCGGAACAAAGGACATCAGACAAGTCAGGGATACATTCCTTCAAGGTTTCAAAAATAAAAAAAAATCAGATCAGCACGTACACGGCGAGTCAGTGTGGCCTTGGCACCTGGGAAGAGAGTCTTGTCATTGAAGGCGACACAGCATTGTTGGCATATTTATCTTTAACGTGGACGTTCTTTACTTCTGGTCCATGCAGGCTTTTCTTTAATGATTAAAGCTGATGTACAATGTATGTCTATCCAAGCAGGTTGTTCTTGTTAGCATAAAATTCAAATCAAATCACGGAGAAGCCAGGATGACTTCCCCAGACCTCCATATGTGACAGCTTCTTTCATTAACTTTAAGTTGCCTGGAATCAGCCAGATTCATCCCCACTTGTGTCAGCATGTTTTCTAACCACTCTGAGTGTGTGTCTAGATGTGTGTGCACACACATGTGTGATGAACTCAGCACTTAGCTGAGCCCCGAAGAATTGGAGGATGCAATTTTCAGACACACAAAGCTATTTCACGTCTCCAGTCCACTCACGTAAGTCTCTGATGAACTCACTGAATGAAAAGATGCACAGATACCTTTTCTGCATGTTTTAAAGTGATGTATTACTTTGGTTGATTATTTCTGTCTTCAGTGAGTGGGTTTTTGTTCCATGACTTTCGAGGTTACAGAAAGAAAACTCTTTACAGCCCTATCATCCTTAAGTAAGTAAGCAATGAGAAAGTCCGCAGTAAGTCAGCATGGTAGGTATTCATGGTTACTGTTAATAATGCACGTTAAATTGCATTAATGGTTCCGATCAGTATCCAGAAGAGGCATGTGGTCCATGACAATTGTGTCTCCATGCTCCCAGTGCAAAACAGCCATCAAATTCCTCGTCGGGTACCGTCACACGCCAACCAGTCCTCATACTGTCACAGTATCGCACATCCTGTGGACGCCTTAATAGCACCGTCTGATGAGTCTTTGACAGCCTGATTCTGCGGCATTTACTGAAGAATAAAGTGTTGATTTTCCTTGAATTTTTCCCTAAGGACTCGGCCGAATACAAGTTAGATCCAACTGTAACCTTTTTAAGGCAGGCTACATTGACACAGAAAGGCCAGGATTCTTCTCCAAGTGGAAATGGAGATTTATTATCTACGAAGTTGCCTAAATGTTGCTATTGAGGTTTTATTAAGACTCACAGGCTTTAAAAAAAAAAAAACAAAACGACGAGTCCAATCATGGGATTCTGTGCCAGGTCTCATGTTTACCCTGGGTAAATCACCAGCCTGTGAGTCATATCTGTCTGCGTCCCTGCCCAGGGCTAAGAGAAGCATCGCAAGTCAGTGGGGCCTGGAAAAAGCTTGCCCTTGGGGTGGGGGTGGGGGCTCAGTGACAGCCTCAGAGGGGAATTTGCCACTTCTCATAAGCAAATCCTTTCTGTCTTTTCTAAAATGAAAATTACGGTTTTGTCAAAATGTTATATAGCCTGACTAGCATTAGATAGAAGTACAGTCATCACTCTGTACCCACAGTAGGGGGAAGAGGGGACAGGGGTCTGTTCCAGGCGCCCCCATACACCAAAAGCCAAAGATGCCCAGTCTCTTACATAAAATAGCCTAATTCACTTGGCCTCCATATCCACAGGTTCGGCGTCTACAGATTAAACCAACCATGGATGGAAATTTCAACCTGCAGTAGGCTGAGCGCACAGTGGAGAAAGCGGGGAAGACAGAGAACCAACCGAAGAAACTCTGCACGCAAGTGAGCCCTCAGAGTTCAAACTTGTGTTGTTCGTGGATCAGCTGTAACTGGCAGGTGGCCCTTCTGACAGGAACAAGGGTGTGAGGACACAGCGGTGTCAGGGTAGTAGGTGCTTATTTCCAAGTTTGGGGGGGTGGTAACATACAATTTTGACTTATAAAGGTCCTTCAAGGAATCGGATTGTCAGATTTTCAATGACTGTACTTTGAAAGTGTCATCAAGGTTTCATTACAGAAAAAGAAAGGAAATGTTTGAGTGAAATAATGATCTCAAAATGAAACTCCAAATTTTGGTTGCTTCCATGCGTAACGTCTCATGAACCCTATTTGGAAAGAAGGCAAATAGCTCTTTGCTGCCTCTTCTAAAGGGCACTGTACATTTCTTTTGTCAGTTTACAGAAGAAGGCAGATCAGACCGGTTTTTCCTCAAAAGTTCCCTATTGGGAACAACCTACCTGCTCCACAGACTTCTGTGAACACTTGCACACGCCTGGGACGAACAGGCTGGGCCTTCTGGCCTCCTGTCTTCCCGAACATGCCAAAGGGACCTAGGCACAAACAGGGTGATGGCATATAGATCCTTGTATACTTAGTGATGCAATTACTAGGGCTGGATGCCTTTTTTTTGGTGGGGGAGGCTGTATTTAAGAAATTTAAAAATAGCTTTTTAAAAAGTTCAGACAGATCCAAAAGTCATAGAACTTCACTTTTGCCCATTCCCTAGAAACTCATGCATCCTTAAGAATCTAACATTACTGAATTTCCTGTTTGTCCTGTGTTTAACCGTGCCCCCTGCCCCCCCAGTTCATGTCTACCTGGACCCTCAGAGCGTGACCTTATTTGGAAGTAGGGTCTTTGCCCAGATGACTAGTCAGGATGAGGTCACATTGGATTAGACTGGGTTCTTATAAATGGAGGGGTGGGTAGAAAACAACTCGCTTCTGTGCATCTCTCCTTTACTCTCACACACCACCACCACCACACTCACAGCACTTCTGACATCAGGTGCGGGTTTGTGTGTTTGTTTTTCCCCACACCAAGCAATTCTGAGGCGCCAGCTGGGTGTCCTGCAGTTCAATTCAGTCCAGTTCTGAGCCAACCGGAGAGAGCGCAGACCCCTCCAGTTCCAAGTCAGCCCCACGAGAGTGGCCCCCACTTCAGCTGCAGATGGAAAGTATCAGGTCTCCAGGTTGCTCAGCAACCTTTGTCTGGTTGCCTGCAAATCAGGGGCTCCCATGACCCCTCCCCCTTTGGATTCAATTATTTACTAGAACAGCTCTTAGAACACAGGAAAACACTTATAAACCTTTACCAGTGTACTGTATAATAAAGATATGACAAAGGACACCGATGAACAGCCAGATGGAGACAGATACAGGCGAGGTCTGGGAGGACCCTGTGCACAGAGTTCCTGTTTCCGTGGAGTTGGGGTGTGTCTGCCTCCTGCTACGTGGACGTGTTCATGCCGACGTGAGGGAGCCTCCATAAAAATCCCAGCCCTATGGGGGTTGGCCCACTTCCAGGTTGGTGAGCCAGTCCCCCTGTGGGAGCGCACCCAGAATGGCCTCATTAGAACAAAAGACACTTCCATCACTCAGGAAATTCCAAGGGTTTAGGAGCCCTGTGTTGGGGACGGGTCAAAGAGCAAATGCCAAAACAAAAGATGCTCCTGCTGCTTTTATCACTTAGGAAATTCCAAGGGTTTTTTGGAGCCCTGTGCTGGGAACCAGGGACAGAGACCAACTGACATACTTTCTATTCTTTCTCAAGGAGACCAACACAGAAACACAGGAAACCCAGAAACACGAGGGGAAGAGGCCACGTAAAGACTGAGACTGAGATCGGAGTGAGGCAACGACAAGCTACGGACTGATGCCACTGCCCGCATCCAGGAGGCGGCAGGGAAGGAGTCTTCCCGAGACGTCAGAGGGAACGCGGCACTGCTGACACTTTAACTGCAGATTTCTAGCCCCCAGAACCAAAAGGGAGTACATTTTTGTTGTTTTAAGCCATCCAGTTTGTGATACTTTGTCACGGCAGCCCAGGAAACTGATACACTGTAGAAACATGTCTTTTAGCTATGTGATTTATCCCTATTCCCATATTTGGACAAAGAAATGAAATCGTATGGTATGACCAAAACCATCTGAATCTTTTGCAGTGGGTGGCATCCTTGGTTACATATTAGAATCCCTTGGGAGCTTTTTAAAAATCCCACTGCCCAAGCTGCACCCCAGCCCAATCAAGTCAGAAACTGTGGAGGCGGGAGGGAGGCGTCAGTGTTTCTCAGTGCCTCCTGGGTAATCCCAGTGTGCAGCCAAGGTCACCAGAACCAGGCATCCGGGTGGCGCTCCAGCTGCACAGTCCTTAACGAGACCACGGGCTTCGGAGTTTGTCAGACCTTGGTTTGCTATCTGGCTTGGCCACCTACTAGCTGTGTCCTTGGGCAAGTCATTTAATTTACTTGATATTTATGCTTTCAAACTGAAAATGAGATTGTGAAAATTCATCTTTTTAAGTGTGTAAAATATCTCAAAATACCAGGCTCCGAGTAGACCCATAATAAGTGCTACTTTCCTTTCATTTTTACAACACGTAGGCGCATTTCAGTCGGATGCGTAAGGATCCAGGCTCTGAGCAAGACGGGGGGCAATCAGATGCTGATTTCAGCACTTACAGTATCAGCCCTCAGGCGTCTCTCCACACTCTGTTTCCTTATCTATAAAACGGGGCCTTGGAGAGTCATTATGAAGTTTACATGGGATACATAATACGATAATTTGATCTGGCTAAAGCACTTAAGACAGTATCTGGCACATTTAAGCATTCAATAAATGTTACCTCATAGTATACGCATTACCCAATAACACTGTGCACGCTCCCCCTTGAAAGTACAGAACCCCACATGATAAATTCCAGCATCACTTCCCTTCCCCATCAGAAGCAGGGTGAGCTGGACCAGCCCAGGAGTCAGGAGACTTGATCTCTGAGCTCAACTGAGATACACTAATCTTCAGGACCTGGATCAAGTCACTCTTCCCTGCTCCTCATTTCTGGACTCAACTTGTAAAAGAAGGATGTAATAAGCTGACCCTTATGGTACCTTTTAGCATTAAAAACAAAATTGTGACCGTCTGAATATTATAAAGTGATAGATGAAATTTTTAGCGTGTTTGGCAAACAATCCCCAGGCTCTTACGGCATTTAAGGTTAGGATTCACGAAAGTCTGCCATTAACAGGAAATGAATTAAATTCCATTTTGTTGTAGCAAAGGACAGTCCTGGGATGTCTTTCAAGACGTTTCAGGCCCCAGTACTCAAGTCCAGCACATGGCTGCTGATGGGAGCTGGAGGGAAGACACCAACCTGGCTGCACGGAAGTTTAAAACTTAGGAAACAGCCCCACGTGGAAACACGAAGGGATACAGTCTCTCTAAGGGGCAGTTAGGCAACACATATCAGTAGTCTAAAAAATACACTGTAATTTCATTTCCAGGAACTTAGCCGAGGAAATACAATTCAAATCTGCTTTTCTCATGCTTTGAGGATCAGCCAGTTCAGGTAAACAAGGAAATCATAAACAACAGCAAAAACACACCATACAGACTCTATTATGACATCAGTCAATCATCAGTCTTGCGTGAAGGACCACAGCCTTTCTCGGAGTTTTGACCACCCCTGATTAGAATTCTGTGGCGTCTTTCTTGTGTAAACCACGCCCATAGGATTCATGGTCTTAATTCTGAGGTGAGACACAGACTTCAAGATATTTGGGGATTGATAAGACACTATGCTCTTTCTTGGGTTTACAGTTCTTTTCCCCAACCTATTTACAGTCGCCTTGCCCTTACCCTCACTTTATTGTCCCTACCCTGATTATCACTTCCCTTTGCTGAGTCTCCTCAAAGCATTTAAGTCCGTTTGTATAGTTTTTATAGAAACAACCATCCTCTTGCTTTTTCCAGTCTTATTGCATAGGCTAGTATTCCAATCCACCAAGTCATGTTAACAACCGGCATAAACAGCTCCGGGAACAAACGCAATTAGCTCTTGGTAAGTGCACATCCCAAACAGTGGGAGCAGAAAAGTGAAAGTCCTCTATGCAGGCGGCACTGCAGAAGGTGTCGAAAACACCAGTTTAATCCAGTCAATGAAGTGGAAGAGTGGTTAAGAGGTTTCTTCTACATTCGGATATGTCATCAAAGGTTTATGTACTAAGATGTTTATCAGAATAGTAACTCATACAGGCAAAAAATAAAAACATGGAAACAAGAAATATACCCCTATGATGAATATCTATATAATACACATGTATGTGTATATATACACACAGAAATGGTATATACTAAAAACTAAATTTTAGACTGTTTTATATGTAAAATGCAGAAAACATTATCATAATGCTCATGCATTCAATAAAGACTTACTAAGCAACAGAACATTCTGTAAATTTTGAAACAAAATTAGTATTTAGTATCTTCCTTATAAAAGTAAAAGTAAGCCAGGATTTAGACAAATGGGACTGAGGTCATCTTAAGCCCTTCATTTATTTTTACCTTGACTTATTAGGAGCTTAGGTGTTGTTTTTAAGGGAAAAAATTCTCATACAGTTTATCTAAAATTAAAATGTATTTAACGGCCATGAAAAGAGGAAAGGTTTTTGCTCCTAGTATGGCCAAGCAAGCTTCTTGCAGACCCAACCCTCCTGCAGATCACAACTATCAATTCTGAATGAAAATATAAAACAAGACTTTTGTCCACTGGAAGATAAAGGAAAGGCAGGCAGATGCTAAAGGAATCTGATGTTTGGAAGAAGAAAAAAATGACATGAGATGAAATTCCCATTTTCATAGCTTTTGGCCTGAGGGAAGTTCAAAACTGTCACCACAGAAGTGGCTCAATCTTTAAAGGAAAACCCATAGGTTTTCTGGCCTAAAGAACAAAAGGACAGAGTTCAGGGCAACCAAGTTCACTGGAAAGTGAGGGGATAATTCTGAGAAAGACAGAATCAGACAAGGGGCACCCCAAATTCTTTAGGTAACACCATAACCGTGTAGGTGAGAGGTGGTTCAAAGCAGTAAGCAAAAGACAAAGAACTGGGCTATGTTTGAGCTATACCGAAGGAAATAATTCAGTTTGAATCCAGTCAAGTTTATAGTCTGCTTTAAAAAAAAAGTCAACATTCTTCAGAGAAATATAACACAATCCAGGTGGCATTCACAATGTCCAGGATACAATCCAAAACTACACAACACAGAAGAAATAAGACAATGTGACCCATCCTTAAGAGAAAAAAATAATAATGATGGAGACCGATTCCAAAATGACCTGAATGTTGAGATTATAAGACAAGGATTTAAAAGTAAAGACAGAGATGGAAACATGCTCTCTCTGCATGTAAAGGTAGGAAGTGTCAGCATATAAATAGAAATTTTAAAAAAAGGAATTAAAAGAATTCTAGAGCATCAACACAGAATCCATGAAAATAAAGAAGTCCCTGTATATGCTTAACAGCATAATGGACATGACAGATGAATGGGTCAGCGAGCTTGAGGAGGAGCCAGCAGACATTATCCAGTCTGAGAAACACAAAGAAAAAAATCAGAAAAAAATTAACAGAGACTCAAGAACCTGTAATACAGAGCAACAAATCTAACTTAAGTGTAATTAGAAAAGGGAGGAAAGAGAGAATGGGATGGAAAGCATTTGAAAAAATAATGGCCAAAAGGTTCCTGAACTTGCTGAAAGATATAAATTTGCAATAAGAAAGTCAGACAACGTCAAGAAGAGAAGACGACGACAGCCAGGCGCCCACTGTCAAGCAGCTCCAACCGAAACCTGAGGAGTAAACGCTGAATCAACCAGAGGAGCTGGACACGCCGCAGACAGGACAGTTCCCATGCCCTCGGGTTTACCGTGACAGAGGGCGGGAGCCCGCTAGGACATCTTTAAAGCTCTAAATTAAAAACAAATGTTAAACCTGTTAACTCAGAACTCTATGCCCAGTGAACATATCCTTTCAGAATTAAGATAAAATGAAAACAATGTTAGATAAAAGCCAAGTGAGAACTCACTGCCTGAAAACCTGTACTAGGAAATTCCAGTCTTCAAAGGTTTATGTATGAAGATGGAAGCTCTTCATTGGAAGGGAAACACTACTACATGGAAATTCAGATCTTCTGGGGAAAATGGAAACTATTAGAAATGATGAACATGTGAAACACCTGGATAATGATTAAAAATTTTTATTAACTTGTTTAAAAATATTTATAACTATTTAAGTGAGCATTATAGGTCTGTCTAGGTGGATTTATATTATTGATGCAACACATTTAATGACTATAGCATAAAGGGCAGGGAAAAGTTAATAAATTTAGGCAATTGCAAAGTTTCTACATTTTACATGGTGAACTACAATATTCACACTGAACAGACTAATAAGTTAAGGATGTATATTGTAATATTTAGCAAAATCACTAAAAAATTCAAAGAGGAACAAAAAACATATGAAACAAATAGAAAATCAATTGTAAAATGGTAGACCTAAATCCAATTATATTAAAAAATGCAATACATGTTAACTGACTAAACACCCTGATTGAAAGGCAGAGATCATAAGAATGGATTAAAAAACAAAAAAGCTGGACCTAACTATATGCTGTTTGCAAAAGACACACATTTTAAATATAAAGATACAGACAGGGTGAAAGTAAATGAGTATAAGTATACGTGTCGAAAAACACAAGTGTGAGAAGGCTGCAGTGAACATACTAATATCAGATAAAATAGACTTCAAGAGTGCAGCATGGACAGAGCTAAGGAGGGATCATAATGATACAAGCATAAACTCATCATGACAGCATAATCCATAAATGAACATGCATCTAACAGCAGACCTTCAAGTATGTGAAGCAAACATGGACAGAATTAAAGACAGAAATAGACAATTCCACAATCATAGTTGGAGATTTTAACAGCCCCTCACTCAACTATTCATAGAAAAACTAAAAAAAAAAAAAAACACTAAGTCTACAGATGGCTTGAACAATACTATCAACCAACCTGACCTAACTGATATTTATGGAGTACTACACCCAAAACCTGGAGAAAATTCCTTCTACTCAAATGCAAATTGTACATTCATCAAAAGGTAGAGTGGTCTCACCTGAGTCATGCAAAGTATGATGTCTGACCACAACAAAATTAGAAATCAGTAACAATAAAATATCTAGAAATCCCAAATATTTGAAAATTAATACACTTGTAAAAAGTTCATGGTTAAGGAATACGTCACAAGAGAAATCAGAAAACATTTTAACTGAATGATACTAGAGATACATATCAAAATTTGGGGACTGACCTAGAGCAGTGCTTAAAAGGAAATTAATAGCTTTACATGCTTATATTTGATAAGAGAGATCTAAAATCAATGGTCCAAGGTACCAACTTAAGACACTGGGTTTTCTTTGCTTTTCTTTTCCTAAAGTCAGCAGAAAATAGTAAACGTAAGAGCAGAAAGCAATGCAACATAAGACAAAATAGGACAGGACAACCAGCAGAACCAAAAGCTTGTCCTCTGAAAAATAAAAGTGATTGACCTACCTCTATTGTGATCAAGAAAATAAAGAAGGCACAAGTTAACAATGACAAGGACTAGACAGGAGATTCAATATCTTGTAATAACCTTTAATGAAAAAGAATACGAAAACAAATGTATGTATGTGTATGCATGACTGGGACACGGTACTGTGCACCAGAAACTGACACATTGTAACTGACTGTACTTCAATTAAAAAAAAAAAAGAACAAGACAGGGGGCATCACTATAGATGCTACACATATTAAAGAGATGATGCCAACTCTAACAAATTTGACAATTTAGATGAAAAGGACAAATTCTTTAGAACAGAGTATCTCAATTGTCATGTATCTGTCAAAGAAATTACTTTCTTTATCAAACACATGGCCACAAAGAAAACCGCTGACCCAGATATCTTCACTAGTTAATTATGTCAACGTTCAAGGAAGAAATAGTACCAACCGCACACAAATGCTTTCTAAAAACAGGAGGAAACACTTCGAGGCTAGTTGTATGAGGCACCTGAAAATCCTAAAATCAAAGCCTGACAGAGACATTACAAAATATAATTATGGATATCACTCATGAACATAGATGCAAAAATCCTTAACAAAATATTAGTAAACAGAATAGAGAAAAATATAAAAAAGGATAATATACGATGACAAAGTAGGAGTTGCCTCAGAAATTTAAGACTGAATTAACATTCAAAAGTCAATGTAATTCACAGTATTAATGGACTGAAGGAGATAAACTCTATGATCACTTTAATAAGTGTATAGAAAGCATTAACAAAACTCATAGCTGACGCATGATAAAACCAGAAATAGCACCATACATATAGCTAACACCACATTAATGATGAAAGACTGAAATTGTTCCCAACCTTATTGGGAACAAGTGACAACGAACGTTCTTATTCAACATTGCGCTGGAGGTTCTAGCCAGGGCAATAAGCCAATAAAAGTTAACAGATGTCATCCAGGTTGGAAAGGGAGAAGTAAAACGGTCTCTATTTTCAGATGACATGATTGTTTACATAAAAAATGAGAAGGAATCAACAAAACCAGCACCAGAGCTCACTAGTGGATGGAGCAAGGCCACAGGATAGACGGTAAGTCTACAAAAGTTGACTGAAGCAAACAATTGAAAAATATTTTTAAACAGTTTTGTTTACAATACAATTAAAAACGTGAAATACTCAGTGATTAAATTTTAACAAGATATGTGCAAGATCAGTACACAGAAAGCCACAGAACATTTTGAGAGAAATTAAAGAAGGCATACATCAATGGATGCCATGATAATGGGTCCAAAAACTAACCATTATTAAGATGTCAGTTCTGGCCAAACTGATCTCCAGATTCAGTGTGATCTTAATTATAACACCAGTGCCTTTTTTTGTAGAAACTGATAAGCTCACTCTAAAATGTATATGGAAATGCAAAGGGTCTACAGATGCACTGTACATTATGGTAGTCACTAACACCTGGCTAGTCAAATTTATATTTAGATTAATTAATATTGAATAAAATGAAAAACTGAGTTCTTCAGTTGCACTAAGCACATTTCAAGGGTTAAATACTCACATGTGGCTAGTGGTTACCTCTCTTAAACAGTGCAGATATATATTTTTATCATTGCAGAAAGTTCTACTGGACAGCATTGACCTTGAATATCAAAAGCAACCTTGAAAAAAAAGAACAAAATTAGAGGACTTACACTACCTGACTTCAAAACTTACTATAAGCTACAGTAACCCAGAAATTGTGGTATTTGCAGAGGAAACAGGGGAATGTGCTCATGGCTTGAGGATAGGCAAAGATTTTTTAAACAAGTCACATAATGCAATAGCCATGAAAAATTAGACTTCATGAAAATTAAATGTCTCTGCTCATCAAAAGATATTATAAGAAAATTAA